ATCATCTTGGCAGCTCCAGAAGCTCTTGTCCTACAATCTAGGCTCAGCTCCCACCTCAAAGCATTGGTACTCAACACTGGTCAGATTTGGCCTAGCCACTCTGTCATGATGATGGGTGGTGCTGGCATGGCCAAATTTGATTGAATGGCCTTACAAGCCCAGTGTATGGGGACTGCCTAAGTTCCTCCATCAGTAAAAGGGGCACTGTACCCTCCCTAATTGGGCTGTTGTGAGCACAATTATATTAAAGATTGTGAGGTGTTCAGATACTTTGTTGACTGAGGCCATAGAAGTACCTAAGGTAGACAGATTTTTTTTAAATCCATTTAAAATTATTATAACTGAGTTCTGTCTCTTCTCAACCATGAGGAACATGATATGGCCTCTTTCAGTGGCAATAGAGCTGTAGGATATTTAAATTGTGGCTACATTGCAAATATTATAGCAGAATTGAAGAACCTATGGTAGGTGTAATGAGTAATGGCTACTTTTGTTTCACTGTAATATAATGGAGACGGGGCAAGAAGTTTTGGGAAATGTTTGGATCTCTGGCTTGGGCCCACAATAATCCTTCCATTCTCCTCCACCCCCATGTGCTGTACTCTTTTGCATGGCATAGTCAAGGCAAATTATATTATCTTGAGCAGGCAAAAAAAGAGTATTTTGTTTGACTTTCAGCAAATTATCCAATTTAGCAGAGCTCTGATGGAGTTGTTCTTGTTGGATAAGCATGGATATATGTGTAGAAGACATAAAGACTTTTAAAACACACAAGAGGTGAAAAAGTAGGTGTCCCTAAACCATCATGACTTTTCCAGAATATGGAAAAAGCAATGTTTCAAATGTATTGGAAGCAACTAGAGACGTTTACGTTATTTGTTGTGAATCATTTATTTGACAATATTGACTATTTACCCCTCCTCTTTTATATTATTTGTGTCACATTACTAATAATACAGGTCCCCTCATATGGACTATGTTTCCTGATTGCTTGGTCTAGGTTTTATAAACAGGAGGACTTCCTTGTAGTTACTTAGCATTTCCATGGTGTCTAACATCAGCATGATTTATACGGGTTATGTAGACACATTCAGGATCCCAAACGACATGCTCCACTACTGCTTTATCAGCCATCTAGGAAACCATACATAATCAGTTGAGCAGCCAAACCAAGTTTATTTTTCTTCATATTTCCACACTACTTAGATGCCACAGAATCAGGAGCTTCATAAGCACCTGATAGGTAGGGAGTGAATTCACACAGAGATAATGCACAGTTGTAATGTGATACTTTACACCCTTTGGAGGAAAATGCTATACAAATTGAAAAAAACAACAAATGGTCTGGTAGCACTTTATAGACTAACAAAACATGTAGATAGTATCATGAGCTTTCGTGGGCACAGCCCACTTCTTCGGTTATGTCATAACTCCTGTCATTTGAAGAAGTGGGCTGTGCCCACGAAAGTTCATGATACCATCTACATGGTTTCTTAATCTGTGAAGGGCTACCAGACCATTTGTTGTTTTTTTCTGTAACAGACTAACTTGGCTACCCCCTGAAGCTCCCATACAAATTGATGGCGCTATTCCAATTGCTGCATGCGGGTGTTTTTAGATGAGGATCTTTAAAAATATAAAATCATGTGCAGCGCTCTTTAGAGATCCCCCTTCTGCTTTTTTTTCTTAAGAGGAGTGGTTTGTCACAATGCCTTTAGCCAAACTCATTCCTCCTTCAGACACAGAGTAGTTAAGTATTCTGACCCCCCAAAATGGCTGCATTTTGGTGGAACTGTATATATAGCTTGTGAAATGTGTTAGTACTCTATTAACTAACCTGACAGATTTTATGCTCTTAGAAATAGAAATTTTCCTCACTAGGATTTAACTTCCATTTTTTAAATTATGCCTTTTTATCGCTCATTGCTTCTTTTACTTGGTTGTTAAGCCACGGTGGCACTTTTTTGGTTCTCTTACTGTGTTTTCTAATTTGGGGTGTACATTTAAGTTGGGCCTCTGTTATGGTATCTTTGAAAAGTTTCCATGCAGCTTGCAGGGATTTTACTTTTGTGACTGTACATTTTAATTTCTGTTTAACTAACCTCCTCATTTTTGTGTAGTTCCCCTTTCAGAAATTAAGTGCCAAAGTGTTGAGCTGCTGAGGTGATTTTCTCACCACAGAGATGTTAAATTTTATAACTAGTGCAAAAATATAATAAGAAAAACCAAAAAGGTGTTTGAAGAACTCAAAACTCAAAAAAGTAATAGCAAAATGTTTTTAAGTACATCAGAAGCAGGAAGGCTGCTAAATAACCAGTGGAGCCAATGGATGGTCAAGATGCTAAAGGAGCACTCAAAGGCTGTGTCCAGACTCAGGGGTTTTTCGAAAAAAGTAGCCTTTTTTCGAAAAAACTTCACCTGCGTCCAGACTCAAGCCGCGTTCTTTCGAAATTAAATCGAAAGAACGCGGCTTTTCTTTCGATGGCGGTAAACCTCATTTCACGAGGAAGAACGCCTTCTTTCGAAAGTTCCTCTTTCGAAAGAAGGCGTTCTTCAATGTAAATAGGGCTTCTTCGAAAGACAGCATCCAGACTCACTGGATATTTGCAATCTATCCTTTAAATCAGCGTCTGTACCTAATGACTGGAAGACTGCTAATGAGATGCCAATATTTAAAAAGGGCTCTAGAGGTGATCCTGGCAGTTACAGACCAGTTGGTCTAACATCAGTACCTGGCAAATTAGCTGAAACTATAGTAAAGAATAAAATTGTCAGACACATAGATGAACATAATTTGTGAGGGAAAAGTCAACATGGTTTCTGTAAAGGGAAATCATGACTTACTAATCTAGTAGAGTTCTTTGAGGGGGTCAACAAACATGTGCACAAGGGGGATCCCTCAAAGAACTCTAGTAGATAAGTAAGGCGTGATTTGTTATGGGATAAGAGGGACGATACTCTCATGGACTGATAACTGGTTAAAAGAAAGGAAACAAAGTGTAGGAATAAATGGTAAATTTTCAGAATGGAGAGATGTAATTAATGGTGTCCTCCAAGGGTCCGTACTGGGACCAATCCTATTCAACCTGTTTATAAATGATCCAAAGAAAGGTGTAAACAGTGAGGTGGCAACATTTGCAGATGACTTTAAACTGCTCAAGATAGTTGAGATCAAATCAGACTGTGAAGACCTTCAAAAAGATCTCACCAAACTAAGTGATTGGGCAACAAAACTGGCAAATGAAATGTAATATTGATAAATATAAAGTAATGCACATTGGAAAAAATAATTCCAGCAGCAGGCAGTCCCTGAGTTACGCGGATCCGACTTATGTCGGATCCGCAGTTCCGAACGGGGTTTTTCTCGCCCCAGAGGATGGGAGCGGCGGGACGCCCAGATGTGCTGCGGACCCGCCGCCCACGTCCTCCGGGGCGAGAAAAGCTGCTATGCGTCTGGAGCAAAGCCTCGGAGGACCCGGGCGGCGGGACCACGGCGTGTCTGGGCTGTCCCGCC